CCAATGACCCACCGCGGGTGGCATCCGAGTCCTAGCCAGATCAAGGGAACAACAACAAAACAAGAAACTAACAAAAAACAAAAAACCAAAAAACCAAAAAAACCAAAAAAACCAAAAAAAACATCTTTTCCAAGACTATGGGGCTGGGGCCTCCAAAAGATGGTTTTTTTTGGTTTTCTCGAGAAAAAGATGGTTTTTTTGGTTCGAAACCATCTTTTTCTCGAGAAAAAGATGGTTTTTGGAGGTCTTCTCCTGGGAAAACCATCTTTTTCTCGAGAAAAATGATGGTTTTTGGAGGTCTTCTCCTGGTAAAACCATCTTTTTCTCGAGATAAAGATGGTTTTTGGAGGTCTTCTCCTGGTAAAACCATCTTTTTCTCGAGAAAAAGATGGTTTCGAACCAAAAAACCATCTTTTTCTCGAGGAAACCAAAAAAACCAAAAAAAACATCTTTTGGAGGCCCCAGCCCCATAGTTTTGGAAAAGATGGTTTTTTTGGTTTTTTTGTTTTTTGTTTCTTTGGTTTTCTCGAGAAAAAGATGGTTTCGAACCACAAAACCATCTTTTTCTCGAGAAAACCAAAAAAACCAAAAAAAACCATCTTTTGGAGGCCCCAGCCCCATAGTTTTGGAAAAGATGGTTTTTTTAGTTTTTTTTTGTTTTTTTTTTTGGTTTTCTCGAGAAAAAGATGGTTTTCCCAGGAGAAGACCTCCAAAAACCATCTTTTTCTCGAGAAAAAGATGGTTTCGAACCAAAAAACCATCTTTTTCTCGAGAAAACCAAAAAAACCATCTTTTGGAGGCCCCAGCCCCATAGTTTTGGAAAAGATTGTTTTTTTTTTTGTTTTTTTGGTTTTTTTTTGTTTTCTCGAGAAAAAGATGGTTTTTTGGTTGGAAACCATCTTTTTCTCGAGAAAAAGATGGTTTTGAGCAACCATCCTTCGAAAAACAATCTTTTTCTCGAGAAAAGATGGTTTTACCAGGAGAAGACTTCTAATCCTTCAGGTATTGCCTAAACCTTTAATCCTAAACCTTTAACTTTAAACCCTGCAGGGTTAACCCCGTGAGAAATTTAGAGACAGACCCCGAAAAGACCCTAAACCTTCTTACAGGGTGTAATGGTTTAAAAACCGATGTATACCTGCAGGTGCTAGATCCATATAGGGTGCTAAGGTTCTGGCCCTGAAGGGTTTAGGGTTAAGGCTTAAATGCCCTCTAGGTTTAAATGCCTTAGCCTTAAACCCCAAACCTTCAAACCTTCATCCTATGGGGTTTGAAGGTCAAGGGTTTAGGCTTGATTGCCGAGGGCTTTAGGGTCCGGACCCTAGAGGGTTTAGGGTTAAGGAATAGATGCCTAAACCTTCAACCCTTAAGGTTTAAACTCTATGGGCTTAGGTTTAAATGTCTAAATCTTAAACCCTAAACCTTTAAACCTTCACACTACAAAGTTTAAGGGTGTTAAGGGTGACAAATTAATTACATACTTAGGTTTAAATGCCAAAATCTTAAACCCCAAACCTTTAAACCTTAACCCTATAGGGTTTAAAAGTTCAGGGTTTATTGCTAATTGCCGTCGGTTTAAATGTCTGAATCTTAAACCCTAAAACTTTAAACCTTCACCCTATAGGGTTTTAAAGGTTAAGGGTTTCGGTTTAATTGCAAGCTTAGATTTAAATGTCTAAGTAAAGAATCCTAAACCTCTAAATCTTATCCCTATAGGGTTTAAGGTTAAGGGTTCAATATGAACTGCCGGCATAGGTCTAAATACCTAAACCTGAAACATAAACCCTAAACCATTAAATATCTTGACCCTATAGGGTTTTAAGGTTAAAGGCTTAGCGTTAATTGCCGGAATCGGTTTAAATGCCTAAGTCTTAATCCTGAAACCTTTATACCTTAGCCCAACAGGGTTTAAAGGTTAAGGGTTTAAAATTCATTGAAGTCTGAGATTTACATGCTTAAATCTTAAATCCTAAACCTTTAAAATCTTAACCCTACAGGGTTTAAAGGTTAAGGGCTTGGCTACAGGTTTAAATGGCGAAATCTTAAACCCTAAGCCTTTAAACCTTAGCCCTACAGGGTTTAAAGGTTAAGGGTTTAAAATTAGTTGCAGACTTAGGTTTAAATGCCTACATCTTAAACCTAAACCTGTAAAAATCTTAACCCTATAGAATTCAAAGGTTAAGGGCTTAGGGTTTAATTGCCGGCATAGGTTCAAATGCCTAAATCTTAAACCCTTAACCTTGAAACCTCAACCCTACAGGGTTTAAAGGTTAAGGGTTTTTTTTTGCAGGCTTAGGTTTAAATGCCTAAGTCTTAAATTATAAACAAAAGCCAACAGAAAGAAAAACCATCCGTGTGTGTGTGTGTGTGAGAGAGTGAATTAAGGAATACAGTCAAAAATCCAGTCACCGGAAAATCACCAGACAGCATAGGTTTTATCGGTATTTGCGGTACTTTTGCAAAGATCAAGGCCCGCGGTGGGTCCATATGACCATATATATATATATATTATATATATATCGCATATTGTATATTATATGTCATATATTGCATATCATATATTGTATATTGCATATTATATACTGCATATAATGCATAATATAAAGTATATAATATATAATATATACTGTATACATAATATACAATATATAAAATATATAATATTATTTATTATTAATTAATTTATTATTTATTATTCATTATATAGTATATTTTATATATTATGTAGTATGTATTATATATTGTTCTTTGAAGCCATTGGAATGCAAAGAAAATGGAAGTTTTTTGCTTAAAACATGTAGAAGTAGAGTTTTTCCGATGGAAACATAGAGATAATAGAGGATTTCTCATGAAAACGTGAAGACAGTAGACGTTTTCTTGTGGGAGTATGAAGAAATAGAGGTTTTCCCATTGAAAGATCGAGAAACTAGAAGGTTTTCCAACCACTACCACCACTTCTACGCATCGTGCGAACATTGTTTGCAAATGGGGGGGGCTGCGCCCCCCCCAACCCCCCCGCTGTTTTTTTTAAGCTGTGCAAAGCGTGCTGCAAAGCCAAGTGGGGGGGGTGGGGGGGCTGCGCCAACCCCAACCCCCCCGCGTTTTTATCAAGCTGTGCCACTGCAAAGCGTGCTTTATGAATCTTGTTGAAGCCATTGGGATACTAAAAAGTTTAAGTTTTCTTAAAATATATGGAAATAAAGGTTTTCCGATGGAAACATAGAGATGATAGAGGTTTCCTATGAAAACGTGAAGAAAATAGAGGTTTTCTTGTGGGAATATGAAGAAATAGAGGTTTTCCTATTAAAAGATCGAGAAAATAGAAGGTTTTCCAACCACTACCACCACCCACTACTACCCATCGTGCGAGCATTGTGTTTGCAAATGGGGGGGGGGGGCCCGCCCCCAAACCCCCCCCGCTGTATTCCAAGAGGAAAATGGGTTATTTTTTTTAATGCTTATTTTTATTTTTTTGATCCCTTGTGGTTATTTTTTTTTGAGGCTTATTTATTTATTTTTTGATCCTTCACCCCCTATATAACCCCTAACCCCTAAACCCTAAACCACCCAAAGCCTAAACCCTCAAGACCTTCTTGAAGCCCACAGCCCCGGAGGTGCCTTTGAGCCTCTCCGCTGGCATCCGCAGCTCTCCGGGGCATCCTTCTTCGGCCTCTCGGAGGGATTTTTGCAGGGATTTGGACTCCAAAATCCTATTGTTAAACCCCTTAATTAAGGCAAAAACTACTTCAACCCGTTTAGAACCACCTTTTGGAGAGCCTCATCTATGCCAGCCAGAGCCCCCTAACCGAGCAGACCAAGGTTCTGACTTCCTGGGCGATATCCTGCGGGAGCTGGATCGGGACCTGGGAGTGGATGTGCGCCGTCGGCCGCTTCTAGCACCGCGGCCGCAGGGAGTGTGTGCGAGAGGTGCGTGTGGTTGTGTGTGTGTGTGTGTGGGTTTTCTTAACTTATTTTTTTTTTGAAGGGGGTTCAGGGCGGGCTTAGTGAGTTCTTGGTGCTTAGGGTGCTTCTGAGGGATCGTGGAGTGACGGTATTGGGATACTGGGGCAATTGAGGTCGGGAATCGGAGGGAGAAGACGGGGGTGTTTGGGGTTTGAGCGAGATTTTTCTACAGGCTGGGCAGAACCCTCCCAAAAGCGCTAGAGCTCAGGTCATCAGCGTGATCGGCGTGCAGAGCAGTGGCAAGAGCACTCTGACGCTAGGTTGCGCTTGAATATCGAAGGCCAAAGGTCGGATCAATGTCTCTGTCAGGCAGTAGGCTCTGAATCTGTCCATCCTACAAGCCTGAGCTCATTCCCCCCTAGCCCCAGACCCTAAACCCAGAATCATGGAGGTTCGTCCGCTTGCGCCTATGTCTGCGCACTCAGGGTAGTAAGCCTTGGCACATGGCCAACTACTGAAGATATGGTCCGGTTGCCGGGTGTTCAAGGCTGATTGAGATCCTCTGGACTTGCGGCCTAATCCACTCCATTGAGAAGATGCTTCCTCAAAGGTAGTACTGCTGCAATCATATTGCTACAACTGCTGCTGGCCTTGTCAAAACAGCCCTGCAAAAGTCAGGTGCTCTGTAGAAGGGAAGAGTTTTGCCCAGCATGCTCTCCAGATTGGTTGTGCTCCTTATGCCGGTGTGCGCGGCACAGGGAGCGTGCACCAACAATGACACCGATAGATGCCCCGGTCATGACGCTACCAACTTACTGCAAGCCAGAGTGGCGGCAGCTTCTTCTCTGTCCAACTCTATGGCATCAAGTTCTTCGTGGCAACAGAAGAAACGGCGGTACCGTGGCTACTACAGCACGTACAAAAGATAGCAAGAGCAAACGACATGCAATTGCTACGTCACTGCATCACATGCTTCAATGATGTTTGCTGCAAAATGCAACATCACAACGCACGAAGCGAGGGGACATGTCTCTATCACACAAGCACAGCCGCTTCCACTACTGCTACTGCTACTGCTACTGCTACTGCTACTGCTACTGCTACTGCTACTGCTACTGCTACTGCTACTGCTACTGCTACTGCTACTGCTACTGCTACTGCTACTGCTACTGCTACTGCTACTGCTACTGCTACTGCTACTGCTACCACCACCACCGCTACTACTACTTCTAGTGGCAGTGATGTCAGCATGCGTAGTAGTGGCAGTGGCAGTAGCAGTAGCAGAAGTAGCGCATGTTGTATGAAGCTGGGATGCCATTACTACTATGCAACCTCAGCAGACCGCGCTGCACGAGCCGGCCATACAGAGTGTGGAAGGTCCAGAGGTACGAGGAGACCCTCGTGTTGCGTGCTGCAACAGCTTTGCTACAACAGCTCTGCTGCTCTCACATACCGGCAGGGAATTCAAAAGATGCGTCAAGCCGTGGCCGGCATGCGGCACTCCGAGGGACTGCTATGGATGCGAATTTATCAGCTTAGACCCTGTCATATGGAATTTTGTGAGCTGTCTCCAGTGACTTGCTAGGCTAGGAGGCGGGGAATCAACATGCACGCGTAGCGGTTAGGAGTCTTGGGGCAAGGATGAACTACCTTTTCGGCTGCTCGTTTGCGACGCACGCCGGGCGCTGCACTAAGGGCCTGCAGCTTGAACGGCATCGGGGAACGGATTTATGGGTTTCCGTGTGTTGATTTTAGGTTGAGGTGTTTAAGGGATGGAGCAGTTTAGAGGTTTGGTGGAGTTGGGAAAGTCTGTTTGAACGTACGGTCGCATCCTGCCAAAGATACCACAGCCCACTTCCCTCTCCCACCCCCACCAACAAAACGTGCAAAAAAAACACAAGAATAGACAAAACGAAAGAACACATCAACAGCACTACAGGACGCGTCCGGACCCTGAGCCCCAAACCCAAACTCCTTGAAAGCTTGTTGCTTTCCATGAGGGATGTCGGCTAAGAAGTTTTTTGTTGGTTCTCTGTGTCATGAAGCATAGAAACATAGCTTGGGAGGTTCCAGGTATCGTATAACTTAGAACTACGGTGGGGCGGCACAGTGGTGTCTTAACCGCGGCGGATTCCTAAGAACTCCCCTCAGCTGCTAGGTACATCTCCCTCTTGGAAACGCGACATGCCCTCTTGGTGATCCTGGACACAGAGGCCCGGAAAGTCTTCAAGCTATTGTTCTCCTGGACCTCGGGTTGAAGCCGCTCATGAAATGCGGACTTTTCTGTTCCCTTTGCCAACCTTGCACTCTGACAGGTCCAGGGGCCAGAGGGTTTGGGGGCTGTTAAAGGAAAGCCCGCCTCCCATAGGTGTTTTGTATGCTCTCATGTGCAGGGCCTGCTGTCTGTTGAAGCCCGGGATGATGTCTTCGACAAGCAGGCCGGATGACTTGCATGTGCGGGAGTTTTGTGGAACCAGGTCTTGCAGAATAGAACAGGTCAAGCAGCTTAGGCGTCATATCAAAGGAGTGCTGTGGCCGCGCTTGCCTCGCCAGTGCAGGCTGAACGGCGGACATGGCAATCGCTGTGCTTGTGTTAGGGTCCATCGTCTTCTTGCACGAAACCATCCTAACCCATCGTAGGAAGGAGCATTCCCACACCTTGCGTTCTACGGGGATTGATGTCCACCAGCAGACAAGCGGGTCGAGCCCCTGAATCCCCACCTGCAGAGCCCTCAGCCCTACACCCAAACTCAAGCCCAAGAGCTCCTAGATGCCCGAACTCATCAAACCTGACCCTGAACCCTGAACACCCTAAACCCTAAACCCAATCCCTAAACCCAAAGCCCAAATTCTAAGCCCTAAGCCCCAAGCCCTAGGCCCTAAGCCCTAAGCCCTAAGCCCATAAGCCCTCAACCCTCTGAGGTGGCCTTGATGACCATGGCCTGCTCTGACCTGGTCATCGTGAACAATCGCGGGGCGCGGGGCTCAGGGAGGCTTCCAGGTTCCATAAGGTTTGCGGATTGATCTACGCTCATAGTCTCATCGTAGGGAGCTAGGGAAGTTGGGAGTCAGGATCAGCTCCCTTCAGGAGCACAAATTGCATAAATTGCATGGGTGATATCAAGTACCTACGTCTTTGGCGCGCCATAAAGCCTCAAAGCCTCCCCAAGCTCTTGCTCCACCAAGAACAAAAAGGAAGCAAGAAGAAGCCCGAGGAATTGGGTCGGCACGTCGGGGATCTCTTCCAGGTCTGCCTGCTCCCTCGACGCAGTTTCTGCGGGTTTCTTAACATGTATACGCACACAGCTGTAATATATTGTCCCCCCCAAACAAGCAATGTGAGCAACCTTGACCGTTACAAGACACCAGTCGTCTACGTGTAACACAAAAACTCACGAGGCTGGGACTCTGTGTATGTCTACATGTATATGTACACGTGTACATACATGCAGATGCGGATGCGCATGTACATGCATATATGCCTGCTTTCAAGCAGGTGCGCTTGAGTTGGGTTTCAGGGGGCGTTGAAGAGAGCCCAGATTCCTGGTGACAAAGCCTGACCCTACACCCTCACCGTTACCCCGAGCCCTTGATCTCCGAACCCTAGCCGAAATGTGAGAGGGAGCGCTTTTGTCTCCGAGGTTTGCGCTGTACCACCTCAAGCTTGCGAGGATCTCTCCTGCCATCGGCCCCTGGGCAGGTCGCAGGTGAAGCACTGAATACATTGAGTGGTTTTGTTCAGGGTTTCAAGAATTGCGGACACCTGAGCATGGCAAAGCAGCTTTACAACACCCTTCCCTGGCCCCCAAACCACAGCTCCGCAGTTTCAGGCTTTGTGCTTCAGTGCCTGAGCATGGTCAACCAGCAGCAGCAGCCACTTGGGCTTCCTGTAGGCTCCGGGACTCGAAATTCAATACTGGACTAGCTGGGCAATTGTTCTGGAAATCTAGTTGCGGGACTGCTAACAGCAAGTAGTCTTCTCCCGTGACCCGCGCTCAGCGACCTACTGCAGGGTAATACAACAAAGTCCTGCAGCATACTGGAAGATGACATGAGCATACAGAAATGAACCGTTCACTTCTGATTGCTGCCTTTTGTGTATGCAAAGAGGAAGGCAGCTGAAGATTCAGGGCATGAGAAAACGCATCATGTCCCTTAGAAGTTTATAAGTCATTCATCGCCATCTCAGCCCCGTCCCCTGCCTGTACCCTCGAGCTTCATGGGTGGTTGCAACTAGGGTATAAGGGCATCTTCGCTGACGCCGCCCCCTATGCAGGGGTCCGGATGACTATAATGGAGCTGCCCTGAACCCCAATCCCTTGCAGCTGCTTCCACAAAGCCCACGAAGCTGCTGGCCCGGACTGAGGTACGAGTGGGTGGCGACAGTGAAGAGGTCGTTGGAGGAGTCCGTGCAGGAACTCCAGCAGAAGGAGCTATTGGGTGTGTAGGGTATGCATCAGTACTTCGACTTCGAGCTTGTGGCTTCCGGTGTCAGTACTGCTGAAGCTTCTAGGCGGCTTCAGGTTTTGGGCTTGGGGCGTCTTGAAGTTTGGGGTGCTGCAACGTTTCTGATTCTTCCTCCGTTTGTGCAGAAGCTTCCGCACACTTGCATCCCCTGCTAGTTTGTTTTTTTGCGCAAGCCGACTGTCTAGTTGGAACTCGGTATCGCCCAAAAAAGCTATGAAATACCCTGAGCCTCCAAGTATCCTGTCGTGCCTGGAAAGTTGGAGCCAGACGCAAGAGTGTCCTTTGTTAGAACAATGGTTTTACTTCGAACATCCCCACCCTCTCTTGGTAGAGATACTCTGTGGTTGGGCACTCCAGGGACACTCTGGGGCTGGGCACTCCGAAAACACTCCAGGGAGAGGCACTCCGAAAACACTGGGTTTGGGCGAGACTCTGGGGCTGGGGACACTTTGGGGTTGGGCACGCTAGGGATGAGCGAGGAGTAGACCGGGCGAGCAGAAGAGTTCCGGGCGAGAGAAGAGTTGAGCTTAAATCTAACAACCCCACACCGAGGGTGGGGAAAAATGCCCATCTTCACATTCTAACCGCTCACTAATGAGACGAGTAAGTCGCCTTTCCCAGCAAGACTCCCACAGCCTAACCTTTCGCTCCCTTATTGGACACTGGCCCAGCAAGAAGGGGACCCAAAACCCTGTCGATCCTTGTAGCCGAAGTTCTGAAGATTGGCTTTTGGGGAGGAGAAGCCGCACTCCTTCAAGCTCCAAGACCTCGTCTTCCTGGATTCGGAGACTGGGTGGCACTCCTAGGGGGCACTCACCGAACCTCAACACCTTTGCTTTAGCCTTTTGCAGGGTTCAGGTTCTGGTGTTTGGTTTAAATAGCGTCTTAGCGGGTTCGGGATTTGAGGGTTCCAAAACCCCAAGCCTGGAGGGTTGGAGGTTTCGGGGATTCTTGGAGCTGACGCCGATAGCGTGGACAATCCCAGAAACCTTTCTTCTTTCAGGAGAGCATCTTCGTCATGCCCAGCGCCTTCAACGACGACGTCCAGTTTGGACTCCAGGTGCTGCCCAATCTGCCCCCGCCGCGAAACCCCCCTCTAAACCCCCCTCTCTCTCCAAGAAACCGGGTCTAGGGTTCATACTATCGCTTTTCTCGCGCCTCAACGTCCCGACCCGGACCCGGACCCGGACCCGGACCCGGACCCGGACCCGGACCCGGACCCGGACGGGGACCCGGACCCCCCGGACCCGCACGGACCTGGACCCGAACCCGGACCTTCACCGGACCCGGAATTGGACCTGTATAGAATAATATTATATTATATGATATGATGTTGTATTCTATTTTATTTTTTTAAATATATTCTATTCTATTCTATTCTGTTCTATTATCTTATATTATGTTATATTGTGTTATATTATCTTATATTATCTTATATTATCTTATATTATCTTATATTATCTTATATTATCTTATATTATCCTATATTTTCTTATATTATATTATGTTATAATATATTATGTTATGTTATATTATGTAATATAATTATATTATATTGTATTATATTATATTATATGACATCTGCTAATTATATACTGTATGTGTATATATATATATATATACATATCACACATATAAATAAATAAATATATATATATATATACTGTTCTATGTTTAACTTATTAATATATTTTATTTATAATATATGGGTTTAAAGGTAGAAGTCTATTGGCCTTGCACTTGAGGCTGTGGGGTTTAAGGAGCCTTGCACTTGAGGCCAAGGGGGTTTCGGGTTAAAGGGTTTAAAAAAGACTCAGGCTTGCACAGCTTAACAAAAGCGGGGGGGTTGGGGGGGGCGCAGCCCCCCATTTGCAAACACAATGATCGCAGCCCCGCCACTTTCGAACACAACGATCGCATGATGGGTGTAAAACAGGCTTTCGAAGGACGCGGACGCGCCCCGGACCTCGCCGGACCTGGACCCGGATCCGGACCCGGATTTACCCGGACCCGGCCCGACCTGGACCGAGACTTGGACCTGGACCCGGACGCGGATGGGGACCCGAAGCGGACCCGGACCCGGACCGGAATCGGCCCGGACCGGGACCCGGACCCGGACCCGGACCCGGACCCCGGACCTCCACCCCCCCCCCCCGCGCAAGAAAAACGATATCCCCCATAATATCGCTTGGCTTTCGTTGCGGCGTGAGGCTTTCTGGGGTTTAAGAGCCCCTGCGGGCCCAGGATTTCCAGGAGTTCTGAGGAAGGCCTGTGAGCCCGAAGCCCAGTTGACACCTACCCTATAACCTTGGTGTGACCCAAAGGCTACAAGACTTAAATTTCGGGTATCGGGTTCAAGGGGCTCAAGATGGCTTAAGTAGGTTTTAGGGCCCAGAGTCCTGGGAGAAGGTGTCCCGGCCGACGAACCTCTACGCACTGAAAGCCCTGCAGCTCCGCGAGAAGGCCAGGTCCCAGATCTTCTGCTTGGATCGCAAGCCCGCAAAGCCCCCCGCCCCCCCCACACACCCTACTCCCCTAGGTGTATAGGGTTGAGGTTTTAGGTTATCTGCACGAGGGTTCCCGGCTCCGAACGAGCAATGCCTGCAAGACTTCCTGCCGTGAAGGGCGGAGATCTGGAGTATGTGCAGCTTTGTGGGGAACCAGCATGCCAAAGAAGTCCTGGCGCGTGAAGGAAGGCGCCGAAGTGCTAATCCTCAAACCCTGCAGGTCTTCCATTGGATCGCCAGGGCCAAAGCGTCGCAAAGGACACTCAAGCTCTTAGGGCTTGGGGTTTGGGGTTTAGGATGTCGGTTGCGCGCGTCCACAAGCGACCTAAACCCCAAACCGTCCACACCAAAAACTGCACCAAGCTCTCGGGTTCAGAAAGGAATCTTAGGGTCCGCGCACCCACGCCGTCGGGGTTTGTGTTTCAGCAGGGAGCTCACGCATGGTTAGGGCTGAGAGGGCACCCAGGTGTTCAGACCTGGTGCTATTACAATATTCTAGGTTATATGATATTATTCTGTACTTTCGAACGAAAATATTGCATAATATTAGAATCATATGCAATATTTCTGAAAAAACCAACATGTAAAATTTCTATAGTATTCATATATATATACACACACATCTTATCCTCAAAGCCCCGAAAGTCAGAGCACCAGGAGTCGCCTGGCAGAGACGGCGCTCGACTCCGAACCTGGCGCTTCCGTATCTTTCGCCTCGCTGTCGCAGTGGCGCCCGCAGGGGTAAAAAGAGCCCCCAAACCCCCCCAAAACCCCTCCTAAAACACCCCCCCAAAACACCCCAAAACACCCCCAAAACAACCCTAAACACACTAAATGCCCTAAGCCAGGGTTGAAGCTCGTCTATGGTCAAAGGTGCCATCAACCCTAAGCTCAAGCCTAAATACCCGAAACATCCGACGCAAGCCCGAGACTCTGAGCCTCGCGCAGGTACGACCATGCCAGGACGGTGTGGCAGACCTTGTCCATGTGCCAGGGCTTGGATTGATGGCTTCAAGGTTTCTTTCTGGTTACAGGGTGTCATTTTCTTTTAATATAATGGATTTTTAGGGTTTAGGGGGGTTAAGGCCCTTGAAACGGTTTGCGGCTTCCAGTGTCTGGTTGAGGGTTGAAAACCCAAAGCCCTCAAAGCCCTAAAAGCCCCCTGAAGCCCTAAACCGTAAATCCCTAAGCCCTGCCCCCCACAAGCCCCCAAACCCCCGAAAGCCCTGTATCCCAAGGCTCCAGAGGGCTCAGGGGTGAAAATGTTGGGGTCGGGTGGAAGCAGTGCGCAGTTCCTAGGCTCACGGTACTCTCCCTGAGCTGTAACACTCCCGAAACCCCTAAACCCGCAACTCCAAACCGTAGAAAGCCTAAACCCTAAACCCGAAACTCCAAAGGATTCAACCCCAAACCGCCCAAACCCCAAACCCTGTCGACTCCAAGTCAGTGTCGCCCCCCGACCTTCGGGTTTAGGGTTTAAGGTTTAGGGTTTAGGGCTTAAGGGGGCGCAGGGAAACAGATCCCAAGACATCGACACCCCCCATGCCCCAAGCCCCAACTATGGCGCCAAGCCGTCCGTGGGTACTCGGCCCCATTTGCTTCTGCAGTACCACGATAAGAGAACTGACACGTCGCAAGCCCTGAAGGTGTGGTACGGACCTGCTGCAATTCCGGACCATGCGGCAGGTGCTGATGGCACAGCAGCTTCAGGAGCTCTGGAATGTCAGCTTGTTTGGCCCGCGTCTCTTTTTAGGACTCCATATTCATCTGGTAAGAACCCTGAAAGGGGACTTTAATTAATTTAGGGAGCCTATCATGCGCCACAGCATGCGGCGCCTAAAAGATTAGACAAGTGTACATCACACGAAGATTGCAAGAGCATGCACACAAACGAGTTGCAGGTTATGTAGTTTATGAATGTCCAAGGTTCTAAAGTGTAGAGAGGCTGTCGTACGCAATTTTTGCCGGATTAAATGTTAAAGCGCTTTGGTGCCAGTTCACGCATCTTGTCACCCAACCTCTTCCTCTGAACCGGACTTCTTGCTTTTTTGAGAGACATTCAATATGTTCTTAGGGATGAGAACAAGGGCTTCTCCTAAGACTTGTTTTCTGCTGAAGGATTTTGCTGAGGTGACGTTCTGGCGGAGGTGTTAAGGGTATTATGTTCCAGGGGTTAGGTTTACAGGGCTTGGGGTTTGCAAGGCTTAAGGCTCAGAGTTTAGGTGTCATCAAGCATCCGGACAGGAGTTCTGCGACGCCCTCGTTCAGAAGCATGTCGACGGAAAGATGCACCAGGAGAGCGAGCAGCTGATCCACAGGCCTGAGCAGGGCATTTCCGAAACGCAACAAAAATGCTCCAAGCCCTTAGCCCTACACCCCAAAGTAACTTTGTAAACCTTAAAAAACCCCACCCCCTTAAACCCCAAACTCAAAAAACAACCGCCTTGTACTTCTCTGTAAGCTGGCCTTCGCCTTGGCAGGTACACGAAGGATCTGCGGGCAGCCACCGGCTCAAGCAGCCCGGCTTTACCTGCAATTCCGAAGTTCGCCAAAGACGCGGCTGATAGTCTGGGATAGCAGGGCCTCCAGCGAAGGGTATTTGGGGTCCCGTGAAGTTAAGTGAAGTTGAGTGTTGAGGTCTTCGGGCCTTTCAGAGGTTGCAGCTTGGGTGTTGAGGTTTCGGGTTCGAGGGGTTCCCCGCACACTTCCCCCCTTGTACGAAGCCCTACACCCGGCGACCTGAAACACGCCCACAAGAAAGTAAACCCGAGCCGAGCCGAAACTTCAAATGCCCAGCACTCGAGGCGAAGTCCACGCCATCGACAACGCTTTCCGAGGTCAGCTCGACGGCCTCCGGGACGCTGTCCTTCAGGACTCCTTCAGCAGACTTGCCCAAAAAAGGAAGGAATAGAAAGTCGGCCAGGGCTTTCACAGTCCCCCCGCCCTGGACCCTCATCTGTAAAAGATTCAGGCCTGGGTGTTGGAGTTGCGGTTTGAGGGATATCACACCTCATCCTGGTGCCGGCTCGAGGCCGCGGACTGAATCGCAGAGCAGTGAAGTCTTCGTTCTAAGGCTATGCTTTGTTGCAGAAACTTGCTCGGCTTCAGCGCGTAGGCTGCCTCAAATTACACCGAAACGCTAACCCCCAAACTCAAGTCCTCAAAGTGCCCGACAGCCACAGCTCTCGACCAGGGTTCTTGCAACTCCATGTTGCTCGCACGAGGAGATGCAGCATGAGTTTGACGAGTTCGTGCGCTCTCACGACAGCCGCCTGCCTCCGAGTTTACACTGCCAAAGCCCCACAAGCCATAGCCGCCGAATTCAAAGCGACCTGAGTCAGAACTGCACAAAACAACCACGACAAATCCCTCAACCCCAAATGCCTTTGAAAGTCTTCGTTCAAACCCCCCCAACAACGCAGGCCCCGAGCAGCCCCTGGACCCTCAGATTGAAGGGTTTTAGGAGTTTCATAGGGTTTCGAGGCGGTTTCGAGGCGGTCTCGAGGCGGTTTGGAGGCGAGGGCCTCAGGCTTGTCAAGGCTTTGGGCTTTTGCTCGCGCGCAGGCAAGTTCACCGATGAGCAGGTGAAGAGCGACAAGAGGTTCTCGCTCATGGGGCCGATGAGCTCCTTGGCGCTGGAGGTTTGGAGGTTTTTAGGGGCTATCAGGGGTTTCAAGTTCCAGGCTTCAGGGGGCTTTTAAAAGCCCCAACACCGCCTACAGTCTCACGTGCATTCCAGGCCTTCAGAGAAGCCCTGGTTCCCGGCAAACGTGTCCCCAACATCTACGCGCCTCCCGGAATCCTGAAGCCCCTCCAAAAAAGCTTGAAAGCCTCAAGTTCCTTGGCACAGTTGAGGGCTTAGGGTCGAACGGCGCTCAATTTTTTACCCTGAAAGCCTTGCACTGCGAAAGTTCAGGAGCCTGCTCCTGGACTCTGCCTGCTTAGGACCATGATGCACAGTTGAACCAGTATTGAACCAGGTCAACGCAACAGCACGCCCACAGCACGCCAGGGCGCAAGTACGCATCAGTGGACAGCCTCTGGAGATCTGCTGTTCACCTTGTCCTGGAGCAGAAGCTTGGCGGCGAGCCCATGTGAGCGGCGCCAAAAACCTTCCATGAAAGAATTAGATTGAGGGTTGGCCCGCGTCAGCTAAAGTCCGAGGCGCGCCAGTGCGCGATAGTTTCTGCGAGAGAGCTCTGGTTACGAGAGCGCGCGATAGCGCGCGACAGGGTAGGTGTTGGTTGTAAAACATGTCTCTGACTGCAGGTCTTGTCGGTATATTAGGGTTCAGGCTATTCTGAAGGTTTGGGGTCTTGTGTTGGCTTCCCGCGATAGTCCGCGTCAGTGCAATGCCAAAAAGCACGTGCGCGTCAGCGCGCGATGCGGCCTGCAGCAGGCCGCGTCAGAGCCCGCGAGAACCCTTCCATAGTCGAATGAAAAGTTCAAAGGGTTTTCGCCACTGCTCATGTGAACTTTGGAAGCCTGAAGCAACCACGATGCGCAACTTCTGGGTCGAATGTTGGACCCTCTTTGGTAGGGGCCCCTCATCTAATTGCAAGTTTGCTCGCTCAAGCAGGATCCGAGACGGCGTGCCATGAGGGAGTGAGGGTTCCAGATATGTCCAGACGGGCTGATGATGGCTGAATGGGAGAACTCCATGTCTGCAGAATACGCTGCGCTGCATTGGAGAGTTGAGTTCAGCAAGCGCCCTATTGAGCTAGACTGTCTTTGAAGATGTTTCCACGCGTCGCCGAACTATTTTTTTTGGGGACGAACAACGTTGCAAGAAACAGATGATCAATCTATGACAAAAATCTTTTCTGATATGCTCGGCGTGAGGGGAGCGGGTGGAGGTCGCAGGTGCAGGCTTCAGGGTCTCGCCACTCTATAGCAAGACACCCTAAACCCTAAACCCTAAACCCTAAACCCTAAACCCTACACCCTACACCCTAAACCCAAGGAACTCCATGGACCACCTTTTCGAGGAGATCTCAGCGCGTGTTAACGACCTGCTGCTGGAGCAGGGCTCCCACATCAATGTCCAGTGCCTCGTTTTCCCCAGTTTAGGGCGTTACAGTAGGGGCCGCAGCACAGATGACCAAGAAAAACCGAGGAAGTCCTCATATTCCTCATGGTGTAAATAATGATGCTAACCGGCCAGATTGGGGTGTAAAGTTTGTGTTTAAGAGTCAAGGGTTTGGGGCTCAGGGTCTAAGGGCTTAGGTCTTTGAAGGCTGCTACGCCCCTTCAACAACGCCCCAACCACCCCAAAGCCCTTTAAGGCCTGCAAAGCTCAGCCCATTATCGCCTCAAGGTTCTCGAAGCTGGCCTTTGTGTTAGAGTTTCGGGTTTAGGGGTTCAAGGTTTCGGGTTTGGGGTTTAGGCCCTCGCCGTTTCAAACCCCCGAGGAACGTGGAGCGAGTTTTCGAAGAAAAGTGGAGTCAGGCCTGGTCATGTGGTGGCCCGCAGTTGAATTTTGTCGAGGGTATATGGCATGAAGGTTTAGGCTGTTAGAGTTGGGATGTTGGATTTGGGAGTTTTCGGGTTTAGAGTCCCTGAGGGTCGCCCCAAATCCAACGCACCCTTGCATTCCTTCTAAACAGGTGCCCCCGTTCAGGGCTTGGGGGCTGGGCTGTGTGGTGCAGGTGATGGCTGAGACCCTTCGCAAGCAGCGGCCGAATTTGGATCGCGTCACTCGGGTTCAAGCCAACTTGGCAATTGGAGAATGGACAGGTCTAAGCCCGGTTCGGGTTGTGGAGAAGCAGAGTTCGAAGCTTTCCTGGACGCGGACCTACCTCTTAAACCCAAGCCCCGAAACCCCACAGTCCACTATAGCCTTGAACCCTAAGGCCGCAAAGCCCTGAATCCTTAAACCCGAAACCCGAGCCCCTCCCAAATCCCTACTGTAAAGCCCTGCGAACCAAAAGCCCCTAAAACCCCTCCAGCCCCCAGTAGCCCCCCAACCCAAAACGACGCTCCCAGGTCATGCAGGAGGTGATCTCCCACTTTAATGCGGCGCTGATGAACCTCAAGTCGCAATTTCGGAAGGCTGGAGACAGGGTGTGTTGGGTTTTTGTCCTCCGAGGGTAGTTTCATATGGGCCCCTAATATGGTCCCTGACCTCCCTTAAAGGGTTCTGACGTATGGGTCCTTAATTTGTACAGGGCATATAAGGGATATAGAAGGGGTCCCTTTCTAAGGGGCCATATTAAGGGACCATGTAACTATCCGTAGAGTCTAGGGCTCAGGCTCCAGAGAGGTTCAGGGTCGGGTGGTTTCGGGGCAGGAACCGCAAGCCAGCTTGAGCCATCAACCCTACTGCAACCTGAGTCTGAGCAACCCTAAACCCTGAACCCTTAACCGACTAATCGCTTTGAACTCTCAACCCTTAACCTCCAGACTCAACCATCAATCCTAAACCCTACAGAGCCAGTTTCGAATTTATCAACCCATCTCTGAGGCACAGAGGGTTTGCCGGAGGGGAGGGACGGGCTTTGGGATTCAGGGTAAGGGAATTAGGGCGGTTGGGCTTTGTGAGCATTCTTGTTTTCACTTCTTTGGGGTGTATGTCTTGAGGGGTTTGTTCGGGCGGAGGCTCACATCTTCCACGGGGTCAAATCCCTGACCAGCGACATTCGGGAGATGTCAGAGGCTCGCAGCTCAAGTTCAGGCTTGTCTTCGAAGCTTTAAAGTGTGGGGACTATTCGGCGCGTGGTCTGGGTCTCAAGCCGAACACCCCCCCCCCCCCGTCGTGGGGTTGTGGGTTTAGGTTTTCAGAAGTTCTAAGCCCTAAACACCCAAGTTCTAAGAATGGACTACTCACCCGCTCGCATGGTTTCATTGTCGTGCAGGGTGCGACCTTTTTAACTTGAGGTCTGAGGCCCTCTACCCTAAGTTCGAAACCCCTGCAAAGCTGCCTCCAAGCACTGGTCTTAGCGTGAGGGAGCCCAACATCACCAAACCCCCCCAAGCCGCCTGAGCCCGAAACTCTAAACGCATCGAGCCCCACTCTATGACACTCCCCCCTTAAACCCTGAAGCCTCAAACCTTTACGATTCCAAACTCACCAAAAGGGCTCCCTGAACATAATCAGTAGGGTCCCTAAACAGTCCCCAAACCCTATACCCTCAACCCTAACAGCCCAGCCCAAACAAGAGCCAGGCATGCTCCTCCTTCCTCCTCGCCAAGAAGGGCATCGGGGCCGCGCTTGTTCCGCTCGCCATGCCTCAGGCATGGAGCAGGGTCTGACTTAGGCTTGGGCTTCGCCGTCTGCTGGATGGATCTTGTGAGAGCACTTCGTTCCTTAACGCTGTGAAGCTAAGTGAACCCCTAAGCCCAAACCCAATCCGCTCTGCCTGGCAGGTGGCCTCCGGGGCCACAACGCAGGTGGACAACCTCTGGATCAAGCTGGTGGACAGCATGAGGTACCATGTCGGGTGCCGCCTGAACCTGAACTCCTTACATCCTCGCTTGGGGTTAAGGGGCAGTTGGAGTGGTGTAAATCCTGAGGGCATGCTGTGTTTGCGGGCTCTGCGGTTGAGCGAAACCCTACACCGCGAAGCCCCATCCCGAATCTCCAAACTTCAATGTAGGATGCAGTGGTGCCGTGGAGGTTTCTGGAGAAGCAATCGGTACTTCAACATCCCCGAGTCCCTTCATGCTTCCCCAAACTCTCCATACTCCTGGGGTATGCAGAGATTTCAGGGGCACTCGAAAAGACTGTAAAGCCTCCATGCAAGGGATCACAGTCTTCAGAGCCGACAAGCAACTGCAACCCCAAAGTGTTGGGGAGGTTGGAGGTGGACCAGCAGGGCCAGATGTCGGACGCCGCGGCTTTGAAGATCTTGAACCGTCTGAATTCGGAGCCACGGCAGCCTGTGTGAACGGCAAGCCATCGAGGGGCTGCTCCAAAATTAGAACCCCCCTTCACCCTCATGTAGACCAACGAAAACCCCCGATACAGGGGTACCCTCGGCATGACCAGCCTTGCCGCTTTGGAATCCCAAACGCGAAAGGCCACTGATGAGTGCTTTTGGTGGGGGTCGTGGGCCCTAAACACCCTAGCTCCCAAAGCCTCGCACCAGGAAATGGAGGCCGCTGATCAGCTGCGCCAGCTCCTGCACCGTCTGGGCTCGCCCTTCGTGCAGAAGCTTCTGCGTCGGCAGTTTAGAGTGGACAGCGTTCCGGGTCTCTGTGTTCCCAAGCCCTGGCCCTGGGGCCCTTGGCAACACCTGGTAGACCCCCAAATCCCCCAAGAACAACTGTTGCTCGTGTGCAACCGGTATGAACACCTGGATCCCCAGAAGTTATCCCATCAGCCCTCGGGCGAAATCCTGAACCTTCGCCTGCAATCGTCGTGGCCATCTATCAGCGATCTGCACAAGTCAAGCTCTTACGTCCTTTGCCGCATCCTCCCCTGCGCTGTAGCCATGGGCTGCCTTATGGGAAGCTCGGAGTTATTCACCGAGGCTTCTAGATGCGCCGGGTTGCAAAGTTGGTGCTTTTTTCAGATTTTCAGGGTTTCAGGGGGTGCAGCTGAGGAAAGGAGGAGATGGCCGGTCAGCCGCTGCCCTATGCGCCGGCCTACAACTATCAGAACCAGGGGTGCCTTGAATCCACACACTCATCTTCCGTAGAATTCGGGTGGGGGTGTCGGGGTTCAGGCACAAGGCTCCCTTTGTAGATGCCTTTCCTGACCTCCTTGATAGTTGTGGATCGGGGGTGTGCAGGTATGGCGGATACCAGCAAGTCTACCAGCAGCAGTACGCTCCGGGACAGGTCTGCCAGCCAAACCGCTATGACTACGCTCCCGGCCAGCCTGCGTATCAGGATCGGTGTCTCTGCAACCTCCCTGAAACCCAGGTACTAAACCGGACTTGTCCCGAAACCCCGAACGGTTCAAACGTTTTTTATACCCTAAACCCGTGGCCGGAGGGCAGCGCGATGCCGGAGCCCTACTCTGCCGACTACTACCGCCCGCCCGCCCAGATGCCTGTGCAGGGCCAACCCTTCATGGGCTACGCAGAGCCAGGCGGCTTAGCTGCCAGTTGGGAGCTTTTTGGGTTCGGTGGCTGATGGGAGGGATTCTAAGGGAGAGACGCGTTTAGGGTTCGGGGGCTGGGGTTTGGGGTGGCTAATCTGAGGATATGGCCAGCCTGTCCCAAGCCAGATGGACTACGGCGCGCCATCCTATGGGCATCCTTACGGACAGGATGCTGCGTACCAGCAGCGCCAGGGAATGAGCACAGGCGGCCATGTCCACAAAGGGTGTCAAGCCCAAACTCCAACCCTAAACGAAACCGAAGTTTGCCAATTTGCAGCGTTCCTGCTTGTTTCTGCGACCGCGAGAGAGGACAGAGAGAGAGAGAGAGAGAGAGAGAGAGGCAGAGAGAGAGAGAGAGAGAGAGAGAGAGAATGAATCTGAAGGTTGTTTGAAGTCTTATTTGTTGATCTACAGCATGTACACAAGTGACACCTGCAATGACGAACATGTGTAGACGCGGGACATTATCTGGTATTCCAAGGGTTGGTTCACGAAACAATTTCCTGAGCTGCATCACAGCCCCCTTAGCACGTTTAGGGGCTCAGACCCACCTGCTTGGCACCCAACCTCAAACCACTAGCCCCTTTAAACTCCTCAATCTCTTACTCCTAAGCCCCAAGCCTTTTTTTGCCTAACTGTTTTCCAACGCCCCTGAACCCCTGAAGGCCCCTTAGGAGATGCCCCCCCCCCCCTGCGGAGTGAAGGTGCCAAGATGGCCATGGCCGGCGCAGGCGGACTGGCTCTTGGGGCTGGGACCGCCTTCGCCGTCGAGCACGCAGGCACCTTTTTCGCCTTCTTTTTCTTGTTGGCGGGCCCCATTTTTTTGGGGGGAAATTTGGGGGGTTTAGGATTTCCCTATAACTCCTATGAACCCTATATAAACCCTATATACACCCTAAATGGGGTTAGGGTGGCTGTGAGGAGGGGGGGGGGGTGTCTTTGAAGTGTTCTCAGAGCGGTGGAGAGGCGACATCGCGCAGTTTGCAGACACCGCCTTCGACGATGTGGGTCGCTTTGCAGGAGATGCGGTACACGGCGTAGAAGAATTCGTAGAGGACATCTTTTGAGGCAGTACAGGGCCTGCATGATCCGTCCTCAGAGTCCTCACAGGTAGGACGCTCCGACATGAGCATTATCGCCTTTGCCGCGCCAAAATCAGGGCCTGTAGAGAATGCCCTGATGGCGCCTGGGGCCCTAAGCGGCCAGCATTCCGTGTACAGTCCGCCTAGTTCCCACGTCGTTGGAGACTTCAGATGCGGTGGTAACAAGAGGCCCTCTCGATTGCCACAGTCAGCTCGCCTATCCGCCGGGGTATAGGGCTCTCACACCCGATAGTCCTGAGCCCTGAAAGCTACAAGAACCCTAAACCCATAGTCTCAGGAATCAGGCTAATTTGGTTCTCCAAAGTCCAAAAAAACTTAACTGGAACAGTTATGTGTCCGTGGTTGCTCGATTGTAGCGTTTCTATGTTCATTGTACCACGGCCCCAACCGCAAGAAGTCCTCAGTGACACACCCTGCCAAGGCTCGTGTATGAGATGGCGAAGGCCGGGCTCGGCGCGCAGTGCATGGAGGGTGGGGTGTGAGGGCTCATGATGGCCTTGGGTTTGGGGTACAGGGTTTGGGGTTGAGTCGGCGGGAGCAGGGTTTAAGTTTTGTTTGGGGGCTTAGGCTGTTGAGAAGATCGTACAACCTCAATCCCCTGCTGAGCGTTTTTCCTCACATTGCCCAGGGTCCTGTCGAGTTGCGCGGCTTGTGTTTCTGCGAACAGGCTTGCTGCGCCCAACCGACTCCCAGCAAAAGTCGTTTTGTGACGGAGGTTTTCTTGTTCTCTCGAATGCTTTGTAGGGCATCAAGAGCACAAAATACATGGACCTGAGCCTCCCCTTGCCTCCCACTGCCACAGTGCAGGCCACCATCCACTACCGCTTTCAGATTGAGCTACCTGGCCCGAACAGATTTTGCAGCCGAGTGCGGGGCCTAAAGCAATCCTCAGTCTCGAGCCCCCCAAACCAAACCGTCCTAATTGGGAGTTAGGGATGTGGGTGCCAGTTTCCTTCAGAGCCCGTAAGCATCGAGGCAGCAGAACTTCCAAACGCGCGTCAGCGAGATTCTGGGAAAGAAGCAGCAGAAGCTTTGGGAGATCCAGGCAGGAATTTCTAAACACTTGTCAACTTCTCACTGGCCCCTCGAGCCCCTGTCTTTTGTTCTGCAAGGTGGCCGAGGCAGTACGAGTTCAGTTTAGGGCCTTTTGTTCGGATGGGTTTAAAGGTTGTCCTAAAGCAAAAACCGACCAGAAAAACCATGCGACCCAAACCTAAACCCAGAAACCCGAACGCCCAAGCCCTTGTGGATGTTTGATTGCTGGCATGGGGCCGATGTTAACAGCACTATTTCTGTTGCTCGCAATCGAATTCAGTAGAGCCCTAAACCCCCCAGCCCCCAAAGCTTTAAGCCCCAAAGTCAGCAGACTTTGATCGATCCGGCGTCTAGGGTTCCGCCGTTAAGGGTGCTTGCCCCTCCCTGGGCCTGTGCCAGGCACGCGTGGATAGCGGCAAGCGCGAAGTGCACTGTGCCAAGGCGTGACGTGGGTTGGGAAGCTTAGTTCTACACTTTCGGCATGGCTCGACCCTGATCCCTACACCCTAAGCCCTAAATCCTGTACCCTTTAAAACAGGTGCTCGGGGGTCTTCATGCAAGCGCCTTAAGGCTTTCAAAGACAAAGGGATGCAGATGGAGGTTGATCCCAGTTAGGAGAGCTTAACATAAACCCCCCCCTCATCCCCCAAGCCTCTTTGGCTTTTCACCTCAGGTTTGGGCCAAAACTTTCGTCGACACCCTCGACCAGCATTTCCGGAATGCCGTGGGGCGCATGGCGCAAGAGGTGCGCTCATGAGGGGATGGCTTTGGAGCAGATTTACTGTAGGGCTTAGGTGGCCGCCATCATGCTGGGCAAAAACCTGGTTGCCCCCCCAAGCCCGAACTTGGCAGCCCCAGAACTCCAAGCCCTACTTGAAACGCCGAAGTCCCCGAGCCCTAAAATCCTTACGCTTTCAAAGTGACAGAGAGGCTTCATTGTTCTTATGTGAACAGGGCCACCTTCAGGGTACTCTTTAGTTCACGCTCAGTCGGGTGAGATCTCGTTCTGGGGAGAAGCCAGCTGCTGCCGAGACCAGAGCGCCCACCGCTGAACCCAACAGCTGTGAGCAAGTACAGGTTGATGGTCCAAAGACCTCCCAGCAGCCCTCTTGAAGATTCTGCAGAAATTCTGATGGTTCTGAGGAGGCGGTTATGTCCTTCGAAGTCCGTCTTGGCTCCGCCCCAAGCCGTGGACCTTCACCCCGAAAGCCCTGAAGCCCAAACACCCTCAAAGCCTAAAACCCCAAACCCTGGAGCCCGCGACCCCGAAGCGAAAATCCCAAGCCGCAGGTGGTGTCCCACATGTCCAAGATCCTCACAAACCCCGGGAGTGCCTGCGAGCAGGCTCCAAAGCCTTCATCTGTGGAAGAAGGGGAATTAACAGTTTTTCAGTGGGACTTGTTTGGGGTGTAGGGTGTTCAGGATGTAGGGTTTTGGAGTTAGGGTTCAAGGTTGTGGCGTTGGAGATTGGTCACGCTTTCAGTTTGCCTGGTCCTCGAAGCACGGACGAGGCCATCGAGCGGTCCTTCACGAAGCGCAACTGGCGTCATGTCGTGATGTACGCCATCGACCCAACGCAGTTCCCTGGCCTGTCTTCAGCCTGAGATCGAAAATGGCAGGTCTTATTCGCCTGAAGCGGTGCCCTGAACCAGAAAGGGTCGGAGATGGGGGGAGGCGCGGGGCTGTTTGTAAATGAGTGAGTCGCATGGGCATACTGGGGTGAGGAGAGGTTGTTTGGCACTGTCAGTGCTTCAAAGCCGCAAACCCTGAACTCCAATCCCGAATCCTGAAAAGCATGACCCCAAAAATCTTTGGGTTATATACAATGCTGCGCCCAGGTACTTGTTCATGGAGTTCCACAAGGCATGGCCCGAGTTGAGAATCGAACGCCCCAAGCCAGGGATTGAATGGGGTACGTGCTCCCCCCCCCCCCCCCCCCATATTGATTTGGCATTCCGATGATGGGTCTGAAAGCTCGCGTAGGCTCACAACGAGGTCTGGTACTACACAGTCAATATTCTGAATGATTTGCGCTGTAGTCCTCAGGACCAGAGGCCGCAGTTCAGTTGTGATCCCTCGTCCCCGACAGATCTCACCAAACGAACTCCCTCGACCCAAGAAACTAGGCATAATTCTATACTCTGAGCCCGGCTGGGTTTGTACTGTAGGCCTCAGGGGCTTCGAAGCTTTGGGTTGGGGATGAGAGTTGAGAGCAGAAAGAGCCCCGGAACACCCGAGCCAAGGAGGTATAAAAACGACCCTCACCCCAGAACCCTTAGCCTTTGAAGCCCACTGCCTGCACAAAATTGGAGGAATGGGAGACCTTCAAGCAGGGCCTTGTCGACAGGTACTGCCAGGCATCATGTAGGGTTTGGGGCTTCGGGTTTGGAGGTTGCCGGTTGCCTTGGCGCCTTTTGGGGCTCAGGGGGGTTTCGGGCGGTGCCCGTTCCTGTTAGCTTGAAGTCGTTGGTTGTGGGGCGGAGTCCAGCAGGCTTGCTGTTTCAGTGTTGTTTTTTTTGGTTTTCTGTTCTCGGGTGGGGGGCGGGTGAGGGTGGGGGGGGATTCGCCACAGAATTCAGGGCCATCAGCAGTTCACACCTCTTAGTCGACAGGGCTTGGGTAAAACCCTAAACCCTGAACCCCTAAACCCCTAAGCCCCTAAACCCCTAAACCCGTAAGCCAGCTCTTTTTTTTCTCCCTCCGAGCCTTGAGCCGCACAACATGCAATCCCTCCATGGCAGCATGGTTCCCGAGGTTGCTCAGAGCCCAAGCTACAGCCTCAGATTCAGGGTTTAGGGCTTTGGGGTTTTAGGGTTCAGGGCTTTGGATTAGGGTTCAGGGTTTTGGGGTTGTGGGCTTGGGGTTTAGGAACCTTGAATCACGAGGAGCTGAAGAACAACTTCGGCAACTGCCTTCGTGTGGCGGAGGAGCGCATGCAAGACCTACTTGGAGGTGGGGGATCCAGGATTATGGTGTAGGTGTGATTACATCAGAAGCTTGGACTTCTCGACTTGTGTTTCGTGGTGATAAGGCACCGAAAGATGCTTTGCCGAGCATGGCATCGTCGTAGTATCATGCTTTGCTTCAAGGGTTGGGAAATCTGGAGAGCCGGACTGAGCGCGGCATTCGTCGCCACAAGCCCCCTGCACACTGCCTGCCACGATACAATCACAAAAGGCTGGGCCTGAATTCTTCTGCGCGAATACACACGATCGTGGATTGCAACGCCCACCATGTATTCAAAACGTGCGGGGCCAGGGGAACGATTTGCTACCCGCTTCCCTAAACGCTATACTATCATTGAGATGCCGAAAAACACAATGTTTAGGTCGCATTCGGGTCCTCCGAAACTGCACCTCCCCTACCCCTCGCACCCCCCCCCACCCCCCTAAAAAAAGTTGACCTTTACTATGGATCCCCAGAAAAGGGTACCCCGAAGTTTGGAGACGCCTGGAAGAGATGAGGTGGCGACCTCGAGGGGTTGAAGGACCTCACCATGAACAAGCTCTCCCACGTTCTGAAGGAGGCAGTTTATGGTTCAGAGGGTTTAGGGTTGAGGGCTAGTTTGCGGTTCAAGGGTTTCAGGGTTTAGGTCCAGGGGATTTTGTGTACAGCTTTGGCTGCTGTAGGACGCGGAGTCGCGGAGGCTATTGGAGGTTCGTGGGTAGTCATAAGTAGGATGAGAAGTACTCCACATAAGGATACTACCAGCTATCACTATAGTTATCCAACCTTTATGCCCAGGGACCCGAACCTTAACCCCTAAACCCAACATAGGTGGCTAGAAGCTGCAGGTGTGCGCCGAGCTGGCAGATGACTCGCTCTCCGGCGTCTTGTGCAGCTGCCTGCCATCCTTCCAGGTGGGGTGGGAAAGGAGTGTCCTGACTGGGACAGCAATCCAAACTCTATAAAGTTTCCGTTGAGCATCGCGGCTGTAGGGTAAGGCTTCCGTGCCAGCAAAAGAGGCTTCTGGAGGTCTAGGGCCCAGGCGCTAGGGATTTTCAAATCTATTGCACTTGAACCCTAAGCCCTGAGCCCGAAACCCTGAAGCCCGAAACCCTAAAACCCTGAACTCCCACCACGGAAGGCAGACTCGGACTGGACGCTGCCCCTTGACCCCAAAAGAAGAGGGCATTCTAAGTCCAGGCCTTCTTAGGGTTTCTAAGAATTTATGTGGGGGTGGGGGACTTCAAATAATAGTAGGTTTTTGTAGCTGAAGCGTTTCGGATTTCAGTGCCCGGGGCTGGTTTGGGGTCCCTACGTGCCGTCAAGGATTTGTAGGTTGTGACGGTTGCGTGCTCCCAAGACGCCACAAAAAGGAGCCCTGTCAATCAACCCCACAGCTTCAACTCTCAAGGAACGACTTTGCGCAGTTCGTTCAGTTTGCGTCAGTGGAGTTGCGGAGTGGCTTGGCCTGTGTTCTGGACACTGCCTGGCAGTTTAGGGCCCTAAGCCGCCTAGCTACGGCAAGAACAAGATCACCCTGCCCTAAGCCTTTATAAACCCTAAACCCTGCTTCCCATCCTAAGCTCTAGTTTCTTCGAGCTTCAACCCTACGACTTCAACCTTGCAAACCACTAGGGCCCATGCAAAACCTTGTAATGGGTTTATGGAATGAATCCTTTAGCGCGTCAAAACATGGGCTGTTGCAGCTCTTGATTGCAGAGTCGAACTACTCAAAAGCCTCGCATGGTAAGCCTAACCCTGAAGCCCCACCCAAATCCTCTAAAGGATACCGCGCCAACATGCGAGAGACGGAGCTCACGGTGGAGCGGCGGATGGAGGCTTGGGGGCGCCGGATGAAAACTCTCAGAAGGCTGCAAAGAAGAGGAGCCATGGTTGTTTGCGCACCCCAAACCCTGGAAGACCGAAACTCCCAGAAGAGCTGGAACGGATGTGCCCCGCAGCGCCCTTGTAAGACCCAAAAGCAGCCGGCGGAGGCAGAGCTGACCCGCCAGAAGTCCGAGTTCTGGAAGTGCTGCGTGGTGCGGACATTGTTTAAGGTTCGTTCAACGCTTAAAGCTCTGAACTTAAGACCCAAAGACCTTCAAAAACTCTAAGACCCTTTTGAACGAGGCTGTAAACAACTAGGGAAGGACTCATGTCACCCTACTGGCTATCCGAGGCATCTCGGGCTGCCCTGCGAGATGCCCCGGCTGTGGTACGAAATGTGCCCCGGCTACGTGTAGCCCCCTGGGTACATTCGAGGGCCGATTCAGCTGTATCTCGAAGCCCACCTCAGGATTCATCCCGAGCAACGAACATGGACCACCCAGCTTCACCAAGCCACCCTTGTCGTAGTTTAATGTAGTTCGTTCCTGGTTCTCCAGCCGCACCGTGCCCAACGGCCTGCGGGGATCCTGCATGGCTTGGATTCTCGGGTTTCTGCCTCGGCGTGTGAAGGCAAAAGCAGGGAAAGCTTCATGGATTCACGGGACGCTCGCATCTTGCAAGGCGCTCCATCTCCATGTGTCCCTAAGCGAACCCTCGGATCGCCTGTGGCAGGTCACCTGGGATAAGGTTCCACCACAGAAATTGTGCTCGGCTGTCGATTCCCTGGCCTCACCAGACTGTGCAGAGATCTCAGGCAACCTGGAGCATGAGAACCACTGGCCAGAGAGGCCTCTCTCTTTGGTTGGTCCCTAATTTGGAGCAATCTTGGGATTTTGGGTTGAGGACCAGGCGTTTCTTTGAATGCGGCTCTGCTGCACCTTGCGGTGCAAGAAGGGACGCGCAGCCACGGCAGTGGTCCAATCCCTTTCCCAGAATCATCCCGAAATTTCAAAAGACGGAAGACAGGCAACCTCAACTCACCTCAGCTTTAGCTTTTGCCGCCTCCCTTCTTAAGTCTGCAGTGGGCCGCGGCATTGTCAATTTCTGGTGAACCCTCGGCCTGAAATCCTGTCCTCTGTCTCTGCCTACTGCCAACCCCGAGCACCGAACCATACCCTCACTTCGGATTTTGGGCAGGTCGTTAAGGTTCATGGTTGTGGGAGGTAGGGGTCTCGGTTCTAGCCCCTGGCTTAGAAAAACGGCAGCAACCCCAAACACGGTCTAAACCCAAAACTCTGTATAACCCTACACCGCAACCAGAGAGCCCACGAGCCAGAAACAAGGAGGCAAATCCCTGACCGTAACCTTGAAGTTGAAGATGTAAGAGCCCTTCAGAAGAGTGGAGCGGATCCATCCTGTGTGGAGGCCGCATGAGTGCCGCCGGCATGTGTATCCGGCCTTCAACGGCTGGCAAAAGCAGGCAGGTAGGGTTACAGCCCAAGCGGTATCGAGGGACCTTGCTTTTGGCTCTCTTAAAGTGCAACCCTCCAATATTCACACCCAAATCTGAAGCAGGATGGGCGCAAACCCTTCTTGTTGCATTGCCGAGCTCCCTGGCAGCATCTCAAAGGACAGGTTCGCGCCTTAAACCCCAAAACCCTAAACCATCGGTCCATCGCCTTGGAGTGCCTCACGAAAACCCCCGGAGAGGCTCCATGATTTTTAGAGCATTTTCCTTTCGAGGATTTCGGGTCTAGAGTTGAGAGTATTGGGCCTTGGGACCACGAACCTTATTGGGGATTGCTGGGCATTTCTACGGCTCAGGAGCCGGACCATGAAGCCCTGAACCCCACTCCCCCCAACAAGAAGTGCACACACTGGAGTGTTCTTTGGTGAGTCGATGCTGAAGTCGCTGCCTTAAAGTTGCTTAATTTGCAGACCGAGATGCTGGTACTAGAGGACGTTAGTGGCAACAGCGATTGTGGCAGCAATATACAGCGAAGATCAGCGAAGATAATACATGATATAACGTAACATTGCGCAGGTACACGAGAGTGATCAGCTCTCGCTTCCCATCAGATTCCATAGCTTTGTTAGTCACGGTCTGGAATCTGACGCCGTGCCCCCCTGCACGATGCAACAATTCTCCCTCGTGCAGTTCGGGAGTGGCCACACACACACACACCCTAAGCATAAACCTGAACAGGGGAAGCCCATAGCGTTCCCACACCAGGCAAAAGCTCAGTGGCAGATTGCGCGCACGCGCCCTCCCATTGAAGCTGGTGGGCCGGAGAGGCAGCCGGGCCTAACTGATGGTGGGTGGCCCAGTCCTGGTCGGCTTCGGTTTAAGGTTTAGGCATTTCTCCCGAAGCCTTTCGGGGGAAGGGAATGTTGTGAAAGCCTTGAACCCCACCAAGACCGAACGGCTTGAGGTCTGAGTGAGTGAAGGGTAGCACGCCGCCCCCCTCTCCAGACATCAAGAATCCACAGCACGAACGCCTGAGATCCCCAAATCCCCAAAGCCCCATCGTCTGCTGCAGGTTCCTTAATTGGCATCCTGCAAGGGCCTGTGGCATCATCCTCATCCCGTAGCCGGAAATTTCCCAAAGGCCGTCCCCAGCAACGTTCCAGGACCTCATCCAGCTCCCTCCCACCCTCCTCCTTGCAAAGCAAGCCAGAGAATTCTTCAGGTATTGGGACAATTTCCAGGCCATGTTGGAGGATGACGCTCAATTTTGTTAGTTGAAAAAGTGCTGGGTGAGGATTTGCTAGTTTAGTTATGTCGGGCTTGTAGATGCTTGTGGGGCGTAGAGCTGAGGGTTTTGGGTTCAAGTTCGCTTCCCATTCCGGGTCAGACTATTGGCTGCGATTGTGTCTTAGCGTCTGGTCTCAGCCAAGGCCCCTGTAGCTGCAAAATTTCTCCATGATCAACACGAATCGACTCTCTAGAGAGCTGCTCCATGCCAATTCTTGGAGCCTGCGTATCTTCTGAACAGATGCCCTGCACAGCACCTGCCCAAAGTCGGAAGCCTTGTGCCCCGGATGTTGTCCAGCACCCGGAAGCCCCCAAACATATCGATCGCGCTGCCCTAAGGAGCATCCGGACTGGCTGGATCCGGCCACACGCCAGCCGCTGGCTTCCATGGAGCCCCTGGAAGACTATGAGGAGGCATTGGCGCAGGGAGACTCCAAAATTTTAACACCTAGAACTGCCCAGCTCCCTTTGGCGCGGAATTTCCGACCACCGACCCTCACGAAGTTGGGCAACCTGTCGGGCCCGAAATCGTGGACAACCTGGGGCCCCTGAACGTCTCGCATCCTGATCCTACCTACTCCAGACCACCCAACCCGCTAAAGCATCGTCATGACCAAGCCTGGTTGGTGTCTCTTTTTGTTTGTCAATGTTTTTTTTCCTGTTTTGGCGATCGGCCTTGCCATGTCTCTTCGTCATGCTGCGCATACTTTTGACTTATGGTCGTGATAATGGCTAAACGTTTGCACACTAAACCATAAAGTCTTGACCAGCTCCAAACCTACCAGATCACCCCTGAGGACTGCGACTGTGCGCCGGAGGAAATCCAGCGCGAGATCGAAGAGAACCGTCGGGCCTGGGCTAACTGCAAGGAGCTTCTGCGGGAGACCATTAATTTGTCGCTGTGGGAAGAAGCGCGCCGTAGTTTTGCTTGTTTGTCGTCCTCGTCGTCGTCCTCGTCGTAGGTGGTCGTCGTAGGTGGTCGTCGTAGGTGGTCGTCGTGGTCGTGCTCCAGCAGCAGTAGGAGCCGCGTGGTATCCGTCACAGTGGTCACTTCTTGGTGCGTTTACCGTTGAAAAAGGAGTGAACGCGATCAGAGCATCCTGAAATTTGCAGCCCTGGCAGGATGCCCTGCTTGAGCACTTTACATCCATGGCAGATGACCCTGACATTCCCTGGCTTGAGAAGTGCCCGAGCTTGGTTGGGAGTAGGCTTGTGGTCAGAGGTTTTGGGCTTAAGGGCTTTGTTTTGTCTGCAATTAACGCTTAATTCTTGAGGATGTTGATTGCGAGTTTCTTGGTGCAATGGTTGTGTTGAGCAGTACGACTTGGTTCTTGTTCCCCCTAGTAGAAAGCTGGGGCTTCTTGGTGTCTACAGACTGACCCTTTCAACTAGTTTTCGTGAAAGAAGAGGAGGAGAGAGGGAGAGAGAACTCTGGAACATCCGTTTAGACTCTTTAGGACCTGGCAAGGTTTTAGGGGGCTTTCTTTTGTCGGGCTTTGGACTTCATGGGATGAGGGTGTTTGGGCGGGTGTGGTAGTTCAGTCAGGTTGACCATGGGGGAATCTCTGTGTTTAGGCACTTCGAGATTCGCGCTCGTGACATGAAACCGTCGACATTTCCATTGCTTC